CCACTGCACTCCAGCCTGGATGACATTGTGAGACTCTGTCCAAAAAAATAATAACAAAATTGGCTGGGTGTGGTGGCTCACACGTGTAATCCCAGCACGTTGGGAAGCAGAGGCGGGCAGATCAGAAGGTCAGGAGTTTGAGACCAGCCTGGTCAATATGGTGAAACCCCATCTCTACTAAAAATATAAAAAACTATCTGGACATGGTGGCGGGTGCCTGTAATCCCAGCTACTCAGGAGGCTGAGACAGGAGAATCACTTGAACCTAGGAGGTAGAGGTTACAGTGAGCCAAAGTCATGCCACTACATTCCAGCCTGGATGACAGAGCAAAACTCTGTCTCAAAATAACAATAATAATAATAATAATGGAATAAAATTTAAAAATAAATAAATAAAAATAAAAGATTCTGGGATGTCCCTCTTTACTGTCTCTTACTCCCTCTTTTGCCATGTGACATGCTCATTTCCCTTTTCCTTCTGCAGTGATTGTAAGCTTCCTGGGGCTCTCACCAGGAGCAGATGCAGGAATACTACTTCCTCTTCAGCCTGTAGAACTGTGAGCCAAAATAAACCTTTTTCCTTATAAATTATCCAGTCTCTGGTATTTATTTATAATAAAGCAAGAACACATTAACACATATGAATACATAAGATTATTGTGTCTGGATGATTTTTGGGCCAGGAGATAAGGGCTGGAAACTGAGAAGAGTGGGGGTTAAAACTCAACTCTTACCAACAGCAGCATTAAAGCCCTATATTCTCAATTAAATGGTAAACTAGAAATAATATGTCTGTCATCAAAGAAATTCGTCAGTAAAACTTTTCTACATCTGCCTGTGGTCTAGGTATATATGTATGGTAAGCAAAATCTTAACATGTCTCTCATCCTCTCAACCGACTTGTGTTATACCCATGATTATGTTATATTACATGGTAAATGGTATTTTAAAAATAAAATGATGATTAAGAATTGGTTTTACTTACAACTGGATGACTATCTGCTTCTTCAGTTCCTTGCAGAAGGGAAAGTCAAAGATATTTAAAGCATGAGAGAAATATAATACATGGGAGGTTTTTCATTTCTGAGATGAAGGACCACATGGCAAGGACTTGAGAGTGGCCTCAAGTTGCTGACAGTCATCCCCAGTCAACAGGTAGCATAAAAATGAAAACTTCTGTCCTACCACTTTAAGAAAACAAATTTTGCAAAAAATCTGATGGTGCTTATAGGCAGTTCTTCCTTAACTGAGCCTTCAGATAAGAGCATAGCACAGCAAAAATTTTGACTTCAGTTTTTTAGGACTCTAAGAAGAGAATCCAGTGAAAACATGCTGGATTTTTGAACATGGCAACTATGACAAAACCAATTTTGTTATTTTAAGCCAGTAAGATTTTTGTAATTTTGTATGCAGCAACACAAATCTAATGCACCTACTTACCTCAGTCATGATAAAGTGATTCCTGCATTTTCCTAGGGGATAATATGGACATTAGTAAATGGTGGTTGGACAAGGTATGAAGTTGACTTCATATCTTCTGTACATTAAGAAATATACCAGTAGATGAAATATGTGAATGCAACAACAACAAAAAAAACCAATGCATGTATTAGAAGAAAATTTTCTATAATCTTTTGTGGAAAAGCTCTTTCTAATTATGACACAATATATAGAAAAGAAAAAAAATGATTCTTGAATTTAGGTACATAAAAACAATGAAAATTGTTTTATGGTTAAAAAGCCCACCAAAGCACAGTAAAAAGATAAAATGTTCATAAATTTTATACCTTATCTATTTATTATCTATCTGTCCATCCATCCATCTATTGATATGTCAGAGGAATAAAAAAACAGACACAATTAACCCAGGAAAAATATAGGCAAATGGCATAAACTATTATAAAAATGTGCAATCTTCCCTTAAACATATAAAGGAGGTAAAATGTTTTATTGCTCACATTGACGAGTAATTTAAATCTTTATTGAAACAACCCTCTTATCTATGATATTAACAAAAACACACAAGCTTGACAATACCCAATGTTGTTGAAGCTGTAGAAAAACAGGATCTTTCACATTGTTTTATGAGGCATAAAATGTTATGATCCCCTAAGAAACAATTTCAAAATAACTGTCAAAATTGCAAATGCATTTACTCAAAATATTCTACAAATATACCTATAAAATACATATGAACAAGGTTAGTTACGGTAATAGCAAAATAGGAAAATGTGGGGAAAACACCAACTGAACATATATAGTATACTGGTTAAAAATTATAGTACATCCATACAATGCAGTTGCTAAAAAGAATGACAAAGCTTACTATGTACTGTTGGGGATACTTACAAAATATGTTTTTCTACAACAAAATGTATGTGAGAAATGGGGAAGAACAGACTGCATATTCCTTTTGTGCTTGCCTTCAGCAAGGAATTTTACAAGGAAATACAAAAACATTATTAAGAGCGGTTATGTATAGGGATTGAGAAATATTTTAAATGTGGAAAAGAAGGAAGCATAGTAGGAGACATTTTGCCACCTGTATTAGTTGGTTCTCAAGTTGCTATAAAGAAACACCTGAGACTGGGTAATTTACAAAAAAAAAAAAAAAAAAAAAAAAAAAAAGAGTTTTAATTGTTTCATGGTTCCAAAAGCTGTATAGGAAGCATGGAGGCTTCTGCTCAACTGGGCAGGCCTCAGGGAGCTTTCAATTTTGGTGGAAGGCAAAGCGTTCCAATGGCCGTATCTGGTGAGAACTCTATCACAAGGAAAGCACCAAAGGGAAAATCTAAACTATAATGCAATCTCTTCCCATTAGGTCCCACCTCCAACATTGAGGATTACCATTCCACATGAATTTTGGGTGGGGACACAGATCCAAACCATATCAGTCCACTACTAACTTCTCCTAAATCTCATGTCCTTTTAACATTGCAAAATCCAGTCATGCCTTCCTAACAGTCCCCCAAAATCTTTACTCCTTCCAGGATTAACTCCAAAGTCTGAAGTCTCATCTGAGACAAGGCTAATGAACCTGTAAAAATAAAAACAAGTTAGTTATTTCCAAGATCCAGTGGAGGAACAGGCACTCGGTAAAACTTCCCATTCCAGAAGGGAGAAATCAGTGAAAAGAAAGGGGTCACAGGCCCCATGCAAGTTCAAAACCCATGAGGGCAGTCATTCAATATTAAAGCTCTAAAATAATCTCCTTTGACTTCCTGTCTCACATGAAGCCCTGTAAGATTGCTCAGTTTAGAATCAGAGAAGTTAATGTCCTCAAGGGCAATTCTTAATCAGCAGCAAAAATTTGTGAGGCATATTCCACATGGTGTGTTACAGAATTTTCAGCAGAACTAAGCCCTAGCTTCCCACAGAAATTATCAGCACAATAAGGCGCCATTTACTCTTTTATCATCCTTACCTTCTTGTTTACTGAAGTCAACTCCCATAATAAACTGCCTGGAGTGATTGACTTTTCTCCAGATCTGCACTTAAACTACATTAACAACAAATATTTCAGTATATATAATTTTATATTGTTTTGATGTTTTAACTATGTGACTGTCATATCTATTTTTGAAAGTCTGAAATACGAATATTGGCTATCATGTGGAGCTAAGAGAGTTCTTAGAAATTCATTAGGGGAATTAAATTAGTTATGAAAAATTTGAAAATAATTTGGCAAATTCTATTTAAGTGTAAGATATACATATCATCACATTTTCAGTCCTAGAGAGCCCTCACATACATGTTCAGGAATCCATATTCAACAATGTCCATGTCAGCATTTTTTTAAAAAAAAATTTATTGCATTTTTTAGGTTTTGGGGTACATGTGAAGAACATGCAAGATTGTTGCATAGGTACACACAGGGCAGTGTGATTTGCTGCCTTCCTCCCCTTCACCTGTATCTGGCATTTCTCCCTATGCTATCTCTCCCCAACTCATAGCCTGAATGTACCATCATCAATAAATTCTGGAACAGTCATAAAACTGAATTCTATTTAAATGTTATGCCTAAACTAGTAAAAATGAATGAACCAGTGCTACAAGTGTAGATGACTCTTAAAAACATTGCTATGTAAAAACATCTTGGAGAAAAATTCATAAACCATTCTACACATTAAAAGTTAAAGCATGCAAATCATGCTCCGTGTTGTTTAGGGTGTGAAAGGAAAGTATCTTGGGCTCCTAAAATCATTAAGCTAAAGGAAAAAGCAACTGGGAACTGCTTAGGGCAAACCCGCTCCCCATTCCATTGAAAGTTATCCCTCTGCTCACTCAGATAAATGCTCTCTGACTGCTTCCTTTGGAAAGGCTTGTCAGAAATTCAAATGAATGCAACTGTTTTTCTCTCACCTATCTGTAACCTGGAAGCCCCCTCCCCATTTCAAGTCTTCCTGCCTTTGTTTCAAGTTGTCCCTCCTTTCCAAACAAAACCAATCATCTACTTCTTACATATATTGCTTGATGTCTCATTCTCCCTAACATGAATAAAACCAAACTGTGCCCAGCCACCTTGGGCACGCGTCCTCAGGACTTCCTGAGGCTGTGTGTCAGGGCATGCATCCTCAACCTTGGCAACATAAACTTTCTAAATTCCCCGAGATCTCTCACAGATTGTCTGGGCTCATATTTTGTTAACCACGGGGTGGGGGAGGGGGATGGATTCCGAGTGGAGATGCCCTTGACCTTTGATAAATCTCTTACTGGTGCTTGGTACCAGCATGAGCTAACTTTATGGCTCAAACCAATATGAAAAATTTCTGAGTTCTGAGAGCACCCCCTCCGGAGCATCCCTAATGTCCCAAAATTTCTTCAAGATCTAAGGTTTATTTTGCTGTACATATCCTCCTTTTGGGGGAGTTTTACTTGCTTCTAACACAAGGAAAGCAAGTTTTTCTGCTTCCATGATGATGGAAGACAGGCAACTCCTGGACTTTGATTGAACTCGCTTCCGATACGGAAGATTAATTTTGTTGTTGTTGGTTTTTTTTCCTGCTTCTAGGATGGTAAAGAGCAGGAGAGCCGTCTGCAGCCTGAGACCTATAGCTAGGTAAGTAACTGCATTGGGGTTCGTCTTGGCTAAAGGTTAGATTGACCACCAGATGGTCTTAATTTCTCCTTACTGTTAGAGCACTCAGCAGTCTCGTAAGTTGTGTGATCATTTGTTTTGCTTAACTGTTTTTGTTGTTGCTGTTGGTTTCTGTTTTTGTTGCTGTTTCGGTCTTTTTCTTCTGAAATAGCAGCAATTTGTCCTAGCTGAAACATAGTGCTGAGATTTAAAAACTTTTTTTAAAAGGAGCTCAATGGCTAAAAGTCGGCTTAATTAAAAGCTAGCATCCCACGTGTGTGTATGTGTATGTGTGCATGAGTGTGTTTATATTTAAAAGGCCTTCATATTTTGTTTTTCTCTCCTAAGACATTGTCTTTTTTTTTGAGCAAAGTATTTTTTTCTTCGCAGTTGACTGAATTATGTTTTCACCTGATTTTTTGACTAAAATAGTTATTGCAACAGAGGCTACTCTTGGGTTTTTAATAGTGTACTTTAGACACTCAGAAATGTCTTTGAAAAAAATTAAGTGCACCTTAAAAGCGTCTCTAGCACCACCAGACTTATTCTCCTCTCGGTCCATTATAATGTAAATTTTGCTATTTAATTTTCACTTGAGTTGTTTTCTTTATTATGGAAATTTAAGGCTATTTAGCTAACAACCACCTAGCATTGTAAAACAGGTTATCAAGAATCTAAAAGTCTAAGACAGAAAAAAAAGAATCTTTATGAATCTATAATATGTACTTTCATAGTCTATGCATCTACGTGTTGTTTACACAATGTTTCACTGCTGAAAATATAGAAGACCTCTAATTAATTGGCTTAAAGAAAAATAAAAGTGTTTAAATCAAATGTTTTATCAGGAAAAAGAAAAGACTAGTCAAATGCTTTCTCAAGTTTATATAACTTAAAAAAGATTTTAAATACATAAGCTGGCTTTAGAATTATTGGTAAAGTAATATTAGAAATGTCTTAATTGCCACCATGCATTTTTTGTTTGCATTTATTAATCAAGCAATTTCATACTTATTCCTGCCAAAAACTATAAGGTATCAAAATAAACTTTCTAAATTGACTGAGATCTGTCTCAAAATTTGGGGTTCACAAGGGACACCTACAAGTGTAGTGGAATATGAAGAAAGCTATGGTAATGACAATCACCGAGTTATAGTGATCACATCTAGAGAAAAGAGAGAGTAATAAACTGAAAAATATTTTTATTATAAATTTCAACGCCATTGCAAGATTTGATTTTTTAAGCTGAGTTGTATATATAAGGGAATTCTTTGCATTATTATTTATGTCTTCTTCTATGGGCTTTGACTATTTCACAATCAATTCAAAAATAAAAGAAAAACAATATGATGCAAAATGATGACAGTAAATTGTTAAAGAATCTTAGCAGTGCCGGGCGTGGTGGCTCAAGCCTGTAATCCCAGCACTTTGGGAGGCCGAGGTGGGTGAATCACGAGGTCAAGAGAGCGAGACCATCCTGGTCAACATGGTGAAACCCCGTCTCTACCAAAAATACAAAAAATTAGCTGGGCATGGTGGCGCGTGCCTGTAATCCCAGCTACTCAGGAGGCTGAGGCAGGAGAATTGCCTGAACCCAGGAGGCGGAGGTTGCGGTGAGCCGGGATTGCGCCATTGCACTCCAACCTGGGCAACAAGAGTGAAACTCTGTCTCAAAAAAAAAATAAATAAATAAACAAAAAAAATTAAAAAATAAAAAATAAAAGAATCTTAGCAGTAAGTATATTTCTGCCACATTTTTGAAACTTTTTCAAAAGTTGTTTCTTGTAACTTGCACCCTATTGAGGAGAGTTTTCTAGGCAGTATCCTTTTGCTGGAATACTAATCAGTGAGTGTTTTGTTCATTCTCATCTATCCATCTATAATTGATATGGTTCAGATTTGTGTTTCCGCCCAAATCTCATGTCAGATTGTAATCCCCAATGTTGGAGGAGTGGCCTGATGTGAGGTGATACAATCATGGGGGCAGATTTTTACCCTTGCTGTTCTTGTGATAATGAGTGAGTTCTCATAAGATCTGGTTGTTTAAAAGCTTATAGCACCTATCCACCACCTTCCTCCTGCTCTGGCCATGTGCTGATAGGATGCCAGTGTGAAGTCCAGAGGCTCCAGGGACTTCGAGAAGCAAGCAGCAAGCAAAACAGAGAGAACCTATGGGACTATGCCTTTATAAAAGTTCACGGGCATTATTTCTTAGGCTTTCCCACAGAGATTGTGGATTGGCTAAAGAAAACTCACTTGTGAAAGGATAACTTACGGAAATCTGGGATTGACCACTGGGTTTTATCATAGTCAGAGGCTGTACAGTGGCAGCAAGGTGAGGATCAGGTGGGATATATCACAAATAACCACAGGGGGAAAGGAAGTTTTAACTAGGCCAGAAGTGATAGTGTTTGAATTATACACAATTTGTGTCAGACATGAAAACTGATTCTGAGGCAGCAACTTTATTAAATAAATTCATCACACAAATGTACATTTCTGGTATCTCAATTCTGTTCCGTTGATCTATATGCCTATGCCAGTAACAAAATGCCTGAAGTACTGACATATTTTGAATCAGGATGTGTGAGTTTTCTAAACTTTTCCTTGTTTTTAATGATTGCTTTTGCTGTTTGGGGACCCTTGAACTTCCATATGAATTTTAGGAAAAGTTTTTTATTTCCGAAAAAAAAAAAAAAAAAAAAAAAAAACGAAACAAAATAACTGGGTTTTCTTTCTTTTTTTTTTATTGCATTTTACGTTTTGGGGTACATGGGAAGAACATATAGGAACACTTTTACACTGTTGGTGGGAGTGTAAATTAGTTCAACCATTGTGGAAGACAGTGTGGCGATTCCTCTAGGACCTAAAAATAGAAATCCCATTTGACCCAGCAATCCCATTACTGGGTATATATCCAAAGGATTATAAATCATTCTTCTATAAGGACACACGCACACTAATGTTCATTGCAGCACTGTTTACAATAGCAAAGACCTGGAACAGCTGAGTTTTCAATATGGACTTTACAAAATCTGTAGATCAATTTAAGGAATACTCTTATTTTAACAATATTAAGTCTTTTGATTCAAGAACATGAGATGTCTCTCTGATTATTTAGGTCTTATTTCACTTTTTACAGCAATTTTTACATTTCAGAGAACAATTCTTGCACTTCTATTTCCAAATTTATCTCTAAATATTTTACATTTTTGATATTATTTAATACGGAATGGATTTCTTAATTTAATGTCAAGTTGCTTTTTACTAATATGTAGAAATCCAGTTTAGTATTGGTACTCAAGTTCTTTTATATGTGTTAAACTCAATTATTAGTTCTAATACGTCTTGTGAGCATTACTTAGACTTTTATATTTACATAAACGTAATTTTCAACTAGCGATGTTTTATTATCCTCTTAAATCTGAGTGTTTTTTATTTTTTAATGCCAAATTGCTCTGACTAAAACTTTCAATTAAATTTTGCCTAAAAAAGTGAGAATAGATTCTTATCTGGTTCCAGGTCATATGCAGAAAGCATTTTTGTTTTTTTTACCATTTAATGTGATGTCATGTGTTTAGTCTTTATGGATGACCTTCATGAAGTTGAGGGAATTATCTTCTATTTCTACTAAGCTGAATTATTTTGATATTATTATAAGGTGACAGATTTTACCAAATGTCTTTTCTGTGTCTAATAATGTAACCAAGTGGATTTGGGGTTTTAATATATTAATATGATGTATTACATTGATTGATTTTTGTCTATTGGGCCAACCTTGCCTTTCTGAGGCAGATCTCACTATTCAATGCTGTATAATGCTTTTTAGTTGTTGTCAGATTTTATATGCAAGTATTTTGTTGAGGATCCTTGCATCTACATTTTGATTTTTTGAAGACTTCTTATTTGACCCATGTGTTATTTAGAAATGTGCTGTTTAATATTTGGGGATTTTCCAGCTGACTTTTCTGTTATTGATTTTCTAGCTTAATTATATTGTAGTACAGATTATATTTTTTATAATTTCTATTCTTTTAAAAATATTAAGGTATTTTTGTGGTGCAAGATGTTGTCTATATTGGTGAATGTCCCATGTGAGTTTCACAAGAATAGCTGTTCTATGCTGTTGAAATATTCTCTGCATCTCAATTAGATCAAATCAAGTGAGTGTGTTTGTTCAATTCAACTGTATTCTTATTGATTTTCTGCCTCCTGGACTTAGCAATTACTGAGACAGGAGTGTTGAAATGTCCAATTATAATAGTGAGTTTATTTCTCTTTATAGTTGTATTAGGTTTTGCCTCACATATTTTGATGCTCTGTTGTTAAGTAAATACATATTAATAGTTGTTATGTCTTCTTGGAGAAATAAGCTCTTTGTCATTACATAAGACTCTGTAATTATCTCTGATACATTTTCTTGTTCTAAACTCCATTTTATCTGGAATCAATATAGCGACTCAAGTTTATTGCTACTATGATATAACTGTCTCTACCTCAGAGCTCTCAATATTTGTGTCTTTATATTTGATATGGTTTGGCTGTTTCCCCACTAAACCTCATCTTAAATTGTAGCTCCCATAATTCCCACATGTTGTGAGAGGGACCCAGTGGGAGATAACTGAATCTTGGGGGTGGTTTGCCCCATACCATTCTGGTAGCAAATAACTGTCTTTAGATCTGATGGTCTTATCAGGGGTTTCCTGTTTCACTTAGTTCTCATTCTCTCTTGTTTGCTACCATGTAAAATGTGCCTTTTTTTTTTTTTTGCCATGATGTGAAACCTTCCCAGCCACCTGGAATTGGGGGCTCATTAAACCTATTTTCTTAAAATAAATTACCCAGTCTCAGGTATGTCTTCATCAGCAGCATGAAAACTGACTAATACAATATTTAAAGTGGATTTCTTGTTAAAATAATAGCTTGGTGAGTGTTTTTTTAATCCACTCTGACAGTCTCTGTCTTCTTACTGGTACGTTTAGATC